AAAAGTACATTTATCACCTAACTTAAATATTTGCTAGGTGTAGCAATGCAGTACCTTAAAGAAATAGATTAATAAATATTTTTTCAAATAATTTAAATACTTAATGGCATTTTATCAATTGACAAGATCCTTATGCTTGTCACTGCTGAAAATTACATCCAAACACACATTAAAACAAAAGATAACATCCCCCCTGCACCTGAGCCAACCCTACCCACAACAGGAGTGATAGGGAGGCAGGCTGCAGGTGGGATGTTATTTACTTACAGTGCATATCACGTTCATGCTCATATTCAATGAAGGCATAACCACGAGGTTTTCCATTCACTGTATTGTGAGTGACCACAATCTGAAACAAGAAATAGAGCATGCAATATAAAACAATTAAACATGCTCAATCTCACAATGAATGTTAAAGTTACTAACCTTTTTAATGGCTCCATAAACTTCAAATTCTCTTCTAAGTTTTGATTCTGAGGAGTCATAATTCTACAAAGCACAAAATCCTTCAATTAACACCCAAATAATTCTTTTATTAAGAGAAATTTTCATAAACTTCATAAATTAATTTTAAACCTCAGATTCAAATAAACAAAAATGTATATACAGAGAGGGGTAAAGGGGAGGAAGAGAGGGGGAGGAAGAGAGGGGGAGGAAGAGAGGGGGAGAGATAAAATTATTTACCTACACACAATTGCTTCACAATGCCTTTGGACATAATTTTATTGATTTTTCAACATTATCCTCAAAACATTGTGCTACACAAAATGTTTTCAGGCCATTTATATGATCTGACTTTTTGCTAGTTAACTACCATATATAGAATTGCAGTAACCCACGTCTTCCTTTCAATGCGAAAATTCAATGCAATGTTTTTTGTGATGCCTCTACAAACTCTTTTGCTGTTGAAATTGGTAGCCTATATGACTTATCATACTGTAAAATAAAATAAGTACAAAAACATAGTGAAGGCTTAACCCTGCTGCATGGTTTGAATTCCCTACACACTTAGGACATTTGAGTAAAAACAACCTAACATATCAGACAATAAGTGGCCAACGGTTGAATTTACTTTTTGTTGTGTAACATAGCCGCCCTATCTCCTTGTTCATTGCATCAACTGTTAGAATATATAAACAATACCGCTTTCTGTAGTAGTCAAGAGTTATTATATGCTTCTGACTTATTTCTCCACATGTAATATACTCTGCAATACAACACATTTGTTTAACTTTTGTGGAAGAATTTGATGTTACTCTTAAATGCAAATTTTGAAGTAATTTTGGATACAAATACAAATCCTGAGATTTCAGGTCTTTCCAATTCTCATTATATATTTGACTGCTATATATGTTCGAATTTGTCAAAAAAATTTTCTCAATTGATAATGGAGGAAGTAACATAAAAGCAGATAATTCATTTCTAACCTTCGAAGTGACACATCTAGTAAGAACGTTATAAACCCTCCATGTTGGATCCCTTCAATTTTCTTGTCCATTGACAACATAATTTCTGAGTCAGGGTTTGCAGCATCTGGTTCTTTGCCTTCCTTATCTGATCAAATGAAAATATGATCTTCAGAGGACATTTCATTTTCAGGATCCCAATCATCCAAAGAATTCTGATTATCAGACATTTCATCAGAATTTACTGCTTCATCCAGTTCATTTTGGATCAAATGTACCAAGTACCTCAATTGTCTTGAAGCCATGATACACACCATGAACACAATGTAAACACGTTGGGAGCATCCCCATAGATTCAGGTATGGTCAAATTTTGCACTATAACACTGTGTTGAAATGTTCATAAGAGCATAGTATTATAAAAGATATGTAAAATTAGGTAGAAGATGCTCCCTTTGGGCTGTTTCCCCCCAAAAGTGCAAAAGAAGACAACCATAGAGTTCTTGATACTGAAACAATGGCATGGCACAGCTGTATCCCCCTAAACAAAACTGTTTGTACAGTCTTCGGCAGATTCTAAGTAAGAATCTGTGTTAAAACACCTTTGAAGAAATATTCCATGGATCCATTCCAAAATATCCCATTCTTTGAAGTAACAAAAAAGACATATGCAATTTGGCATGATTAGCCAGTCATTAGAAGTACTAATGACCAGATGGCGCCATACATCAAGCAACATGCACCTAATAGGTCCTAAGGGAGACCTGTGGGATACTGTTAGAGAAAGACGTAGTAGTAGTGTGCATCAAAAGGATTTTGAAACCATTTTATGCTTATGTTGGAGCATTAAAGAAGAAAAGTGTTTCACCTTACATGAAAGAATATTTTGCAATTGCTTAAAAACAAAATACCACTTTCTATTCATCAACAACTTCTTTAAGTCCTCACTCTGAAAAGTTACCAGATATGGATTTCTTTGCAACTGGAATTGTGGTAACTATTTGTAAAAAGGGCACCAGAAAGTTCATTTTGAACCTCAAAAGATATGCATTAATGAAAAAGAATTATATAATTAAATGATTTACAATTGCCTTGTACACTTTTATGTATAAATGTTCATGACCTTGCAATTGATAATATGCATTAGTGTTTACAATTTAGAGTCTAAAATTTTTAGTTTTTATTAATTTGCCATGTTCCATTGTATAATGTTTATTTCCACTTTTAAATTTTCACCCATTGAGTTGGGAAATAATCTCTAAAACAAATCTGGTGTAAGAAATAAGATTGAAAGAAGTAATATTATAAGAATAAATTTTGATCCTTCCATTTCTGGATGATCTTTAATCCATTTAATGGTAGCAATACTCCTTTAATATATAAATATATGTAAAAATATATAAATATATGTTGCTCTCATACTAATCACTAAACAAAGTGCAATTAGGCGTGAAAATGTTCTCCGAAAACATTAACTTGTATAGAATAATGAAAAAAAAAAACAAATATACATACTATTCTGGCCACGAAAAGGGTCTTGAAGGGGTCTCCAGTTGCATGAGGTATACTATGTGGATCCCCTAAAACAAGTTCTTAATTTAATAATTTTCCATTGATACATTTCATTAAATAATAATAATAATTACCTTAAGTAAAATTAATTATTAATTGCATAGGATCTTAGATTTGACATGAAAAATATTACTTATGTGATCTAAAGGTGGCGGCTCCAGACATTCAGCATTCGCCAAGCAGCTGGCAACTACTTGTCCAATTCCAAGCAGCTAATGTGCTTGGCAAATGTTCGCTTCCCACAATGTGTGCGAAAGTCCAAAAGCAGTGGTTAGAAAAAGTTCTGAATGTTCATTGCTCAGCATATAGCACACAGCCATGCACACAACTCTGAATTCGGAAAGCAGGTGCTTGCTACTCGCCGAATACCAAATGTATGGAGCTGCCTTACCAGCACTTTTCATGACAAATACTGGGACTTAGGAGTTTTTTGTATGAAGTTTAAAATCATTTACCATCCACATGTTTTGCATACAAAGGCACGAAGTTTATGAATACATACTTTTAATATTTTTTTTCATGATTTTCTTTATTAAGTAATTTTGAAATTTAATATAAATTAAAAAGAAAAAAACAGCTGAAATGTAGTATACAGTACAACCTAAGGAAGTTGTTTAAACCGGCACATAGCGCCGTTCTGGCATTAACTAGGCAGTTAAGAATTCTGGTGACTTTCTTGAAAAGTGATGTCTTATAAAGTAAATTGGTAATTATGCGTTGGATAGACTCAAGGATATTTATAGTGAACGCGAGGGCCGAAGGCCCAAGCCTCGCCATGACTTGGATCTGGGCGAGCAAAGCGAGAAAACTTGCCTTTTAAAGTAAATTGGCGTTACAATGCGGTGGGAACAAAGCATACAAAGGGCAAACCATAAATATCTTCTATTCATAAGTTTTACTCATTTCTATTAGAGCACGTACAGTAATTAGGGCTTAAGCCCCACCGCCACGCTTCTCTAAGGGTCTTCTCTACCGTATACTAAACTTTAACCAAAAAAACATCTCGTTAGATGTGTGCCCAAATTAAAACAATTATTCCTGTCAGGAACACCCTGGTACACTCCAGTATTTAAGTGTGCATTATTAGAGTAATTTGCAAAATTTTAAGTACATTGGAAAATACAAATCAGTAACAAAAAAAGATTTAATTCATTTTCCCATTAAAAAGTGTGTAAAAGAAATGATATTTTGTAGTCTCAAACAAACTTCTTAATTGATTAATGAACTATATGGAGAAAAAAAGTATAAAAGATATTACTTAGTATGGGCACCTTTCTTAGATACAAAAAATGCAGGTTTATGGGAATAGCTCTAATTACCTGCCAGAAACATCTTCAAAATATTTCTAGCCCAAATATTTGCTTAACTCTACAAAAATCTTTTCATGTAAACCATGTAATAATTTCACACTTTTAATGTCTGTAATATGAAGTGTTTTTAGTAAACAAAGAAATTTGAATAAACCAATGGATGTACTTTAAATGACCCCCCCCCCCCAAGTTACCCATGAAACTTTAATGTGTACACAAAAATATATAGTTACTGGGTAATAAAGTGTAAATTATCTCATTCACTCAGGCGAACCTTCTGATTTCACTATTACTATTAAGATAATGCATAAGATTGATCTACTGCACACACACATGCAACAAAAATACATTTATAATTTCAATACTGTACTCACAGACCGCAATTTCTTGCTCTAATTTATATGCTACTTGTTCAGCTCTCTCTCTTCTTCTCCTTTCCATACGTTCATCTCTAGTTTCTACTCTTGTGGGCGGTGGAGTATCTTTTGGATCCTGTGGGCACAAAATTAAAAATATTTTTGAATTACGGCATTTTTTGTCACAATAAACAATCTACCGTAAAAACAATAATGCAATAATTGTTTAAGTATTTAAATGTAATTACACATTGTTAAATCGCATAAGCTGACTAAATTCGCCATTACGTAATACTAGAAACGAAATAAACTATTTCGTGTAACGAAATAAGACTTAAATGTATACAATTCTTTTACCTCAAAATTTCCAAGGAAATGACCAACACCAAGATATCCGCGATTCTTCTTCTCGTGCGGCAATTTGTCAACAGGGGGGATGTAGGGTATCGGGTCCCTCGGTGCAAAAAGTGCAAGTAAATTTGGGGGCAGAAACTGCGTCATTTTGGGGTTAGATTTTTATCACGCGTACAAAATGAAGTAGTTTCTCAAGTCACCACATTCTATACACTAACACAACAAATCCAAATCAATTTCTCTAGTAACTTTTTTTTATATTCTGCGTTGGAGACGACACACAACGGAGTACATTAATGCACGATATACAGCAAATTACATTTTAGCACATTTATGATAAACACATCTTTAACTGTGATTAGTGACCAGTCCACACACTACTAATATAACGGGTAGAAATCCAACGAGAAAGAAATATCAGCTTGTGACGCACAAATCCTCTCACAGCCACATCACTACTAAACCGGAAGTACACTCAGTGCTCATAATTCCCTTGCGAAGCATTCTACGGAAAATGTGGAAAAACTAAAACAAAAAAATTCTTTATCAATAGTTGTTTCAAACTTGCGTTTAATTACATGAAATATCAAAATTTGAAAACTTCTGTAATTTGATTTGCATAAATAAAATGCAGTAATGGAATGACTAGCTCAATTGCTGCAGCCATAAAAAGAAAATGGCGGATCGTTGGCGTCATGTAAGAAAGCGGGTAATTTACTTGGAATAAATATTATACATATTTTTAAAAATAATATTCTTGATCATCAACTATATTACTCGAGTAATATACATATACATATACATACTGGTAATTTCCAATGGATACATTAAATTCAACGCCGTTAAACTCATATTAATCTTAATATCAGTACTGAATTTTCAATATTCTGAAGAGTAAATACGAGTAATGCTATGGATTAATAATAATTTGAAAATTTGTTTTAATAAGAAAATTGACTGACTATTAAAATTCAATAATGTAATTTAAAAAGGGGTGCCATTATGTTCCATAAAATTATAAATATGTGCAATACATTCACATGAGTTTTTTCTTCATTTTGTTTTTAGATGAAATCAAAAATCAGAAATTGCCATCAAAAGAACATATCTTTAATAAGAAATTATTTAACGGGCGCAGCGGCGAAGTGCGCTAACAAGAAGTGGGGTTCACCTGTGACGGTTCGGGAGGAGGACTCATGCGTATCATACCCCCTCCCCTCAAGCAAAATATTTATTTTGTAATTGTACTCAGTTTATTGAAACCCATTACCACATTACGTTCACATCACAAGAGTATTCCCCTAATTAATATACTACCCTGTCCTCTGGCTCTGAGACATATCTCCACCGCATATACTAGTCTTCGTAACCTTAGGGTGGGCTTTTTCATCATCACCACACAGCAAAATATACTGGGGCATTTGTAAGGAAAGCGCACAGTTATAATTTGCCTCACCCGGGAACTGAATATGGGTTTGCGCCATGATAAGCAAGAACGCTAACAAACCAACAAAACACCCAAGAGGGTAATTAATATACTATATTTATATTATGGATAAAGTTAAAATTCTTTTTTATTATTTAAAATACATTTACAAGAGGAGAATTCGAACTAAAATTGGCTTGCCAATGACATACTTTCGGGATCTGCCTCTGAGGTTCACTAATAATCTCTGCGAGTTATATCAAACTAGTTTCGTACTCCGCGATTGGTGCACACCTCCATTCCCCACATCACCCCCTCCCCGACCAAATGGGTGTTGCAGCTCAATCGAATGACAGATATGTAATAATAGGTAAATGCATTAATATCTATTTGGTCTGCTATATACTAAAAGTGCGAAATAAAGGTAGCTGCAAACTGTTATTATATGGTTTCTAGAAGCGCCGGGTATTTTAAAACCTTGTACTATGTGAACTTTTCTGCATTGTAGGAACCATACGATTATAGACCACTGGGCCTCTGTTTTAAATATTTTTTAATAAAGTCAAAATGTTTCAATAATTTCTTAAGCATTTATTCAATTAATAATAATACATTTTTTTATAAAAATGAATTATATTTCACATAATACACTAAAATATCTTGCGTCTTGTTGGGACAGCGAATTGGTCGATGAGATCATCACAGTTTATTGATTTTAAAAATTTCGGGTTCTATTGCCAACAACACAAGCTCATTTAATCGATCTTCGGTCACTTTTCATCCGAGGTAGTTTTTCACCTTTTCAAACATGAAGATCTTTCAGAGCTTCAATTACTTATCAGGGGGCAAAATAATCATCCGGTATGCAATATCGACATCGGAATACACTCTATATGTCATTTTCAAGAAGAAAATTAATTTCATTGGAGAAAAATGTTTAATTTTTTCTCTGCGCAATGTGCTTGGAAGTGTAACATTTCATTTCCCAATGTCCAAAGGTAAATCCGCGCCACAAAAGTCTCGTAACAAGTTTGATTTTTCTTGTACATTGCTTGCATTCAAATGTATGACATTGCTTGCATTCAAAATTATGAAGAACTTTTCACAGATCTTCTTGTAAGATTCGTTTTTACGAGTTAACTCGGAAACTGTTACCAAAAATTACGCCGGACGATCTGACATTGAAAACATCGCGGGTCAATTGTTTGTTAAGTACCACCTTTTGATCAATTAAGTTAGAACGTGATCGTGGATAGCTTACAAATTTTTGGGTAAACAAAATTTTAAGTGATTTCTTTGATTATTAACCGAGAGATTATGAATTGAAGCAAAAAATACCTTTGGAAATTTATACATTACAATGCAATTCACTGCTTATTATTTACTTCAATTAGGGTAATTTAATAAATGTGAGCACGATTCGGTGCACGATTACATCACTTTCTCTTCTTGCAAAGTACCTTTCGAATAAAAAATCTTTTTGATTAAAGAATTGTTGCCGCCCTCAAAAATTTGCCGGGCTGGTGCCCATGACTAAATCCACTACTACGCATATCCACATGTCTTTACTATGAAAAATCATTTTGATTAAAAAATTAATGATCAATTTTTTAAAAATTGTTAATTTTTGTTGTAATTTTACATTTTCAATAACATTTTGAAGACATGGAGATGGCTTTCTATAATTGGTCTTAATATCTAGATTTTATTCAATAGAACATTAACAAAAAGGCATTTTAAAACATATTTTACTGATTTAATTATCTAATTTTGGGGAAATAAATATTTAAAACTTATCTTCACTAACCCAAGAATAAAACGCAACATGCTTACATTACACATTCACAAATTCACATTCACAAAAACGGAAAATATTCTACTACACTTCGTTTCAGAAGATCGGTCAGTTCTATCAGTTCCAACTAACCGTATCAGTGGTTCCAGCACAATCTGTGGTTTCTACTACTGAATCAGCTCGCTGCACGGTTGCACAGCCCACAGACAATACAAAAATATCTTGCACTATCTTAAAAATATACATTTTCGTTTTAATGGCATTCAATATTACAGATATTGCAGCAATATCGACGTATATGAAATCATTTGGAAATCAAAGAGCGTCCAATTGGCACTCTCTCCGGCGTCTGGTGATTCCAAGGTATTGCACCACATTCTTGGCTTTGTTACTGGGTTTACTGCATTTACACATTGGCCCTTCGCTTTAACACGGGTGAACATACGGACTTTGATGACACAACCAAATGGGCAGGGTCTTTGTCGCCGAGCGCTGTGGAGCGCTGCATGGCGACCGACGCAGTCAGAGGGAAATACTAATATTCTGTCTTGGTCTGACTTGCCGCAATTTAATTTTATGAATTTACGTGTAATTGAAAGTAAACAAATTCAAGCCTGCCAGCCAGTAGCTGGCCTGACCAATAGAGTGTGAGCGTTCTTGTCAATACGAATGAGTGTAGAAGATCTTTCCTTAATACAATATATATCAGGGTAGTGCAGTTTTCGAAATTATTTATTAGTATAAAACGTGTTCAAACAATAGTGCCCGTGCAACACTGGAAATCAAAGTCAGAACAACGTGCGCGGGAGGTGAATATACCTGACACGGACACTATGCATAAAAATATGAAAGTAATATTCAGTACCCTTTTTATTAAACTTAGCTTAAATGAATTGTCATGAATTACTTACATATTCTTTCATATTAGTGTTATGAATTTTGGAAATTAAATTTCCGTCATTCGATGGAGCTGCAACCTCCAGTTTCTTGCGGGCACTAGTCGCCACTGTACTTTATACTTCGTTTCAGAAGATCTGCCCCTTTTCAATTCAGAGACGCCGACAGTCGGAGTGTTTACAACAGCAACAACGGCAGTGAAACTAAATTTAAAAAATGGTTCTAATTCTATTGTTCTAACACTAGTTTGCGCAACGAACCAAAATGACATTTTATTTAATGTATTTTTGTAAAAACTCTACGAAGTACAATCTGAGCACGTTTTCTTGAACTCTCGAATTCTCCCCACCTTTTAGTATAAGCAGTTGAATGTTGAATAAAAGTATCGACAAAGCGGAGTTATTATCATTCAAAAATAGATATTTTCGCTCTCGGGGTATAGAAATCATATTGGTAAGGGTAAAGGTACCATAGATGTATTTTTTTAATATATCTAACAAAATAGTATTACATACCCCCTGGCTCTATTCCTACTACCACAAGGAACGCTGAAGAAAACGCGCGCGTATTGAAGCTACATGTCCAGAAGCAAAATAAGGGGCCATCTCTACATTCGCTCAATGGATCAGGGAAACTGAACGAAAACCTAATCGAGATGAAGGTCATTAACCCAGACGCTGAAGTACAGTACTTGTTTTAGGTATATTAAGTATTTTTAAAATTATGTTACATAAATGTAAACCAATGCATTATATATCATCGTAAAAATATTATTTTTCTTTTTGATGATCAGGGTCGGTACGTTACGGACGGACGGCAGTTTTTGTGTCGCTCGAAAGCGATAGGCCGGGATGGGACGAAACCGGATACTTCGGACATTTTCTGAGTCAGTTTGGTTCCGCGGTCTATGTCTTGTTTTGTGCGCGACGGCTTCATAATTCCAGTAAAGAAGCAATCGCATTATGTTCATTTTGTAGCATCTGAGAGCCAGTTGCTCGTGTTTTATTTCTTTGTTATTCCGTTGCTAGATTGCACTGTTCTTTGTTTCTGAATGAGACCCGCACCACTCTTAAACGTCTTTTGCACTATTAAACAACAAAATGTATTCAAAAAATTGGAGCAATTTTTTTGAAAATATTGAAAATGTTTGAGGAACTTTGTGTAAAGTATTCCCCAAAATAAAATACCGATTTCAAAATACAGAGGCCGCGACATCAGCCAGATCGATTGAGGAATATCAAGTTTGGAGAAAATGGACTGAATTGTTCAGCCGTTAGCGTTGACCACAGACGGACGGACACACGAATGTTTTGCCGTCAATCGAATTTTCGGTATCAAGAAACAACAAAATTTGGATTCTGACTACACCACATGTTAATGTACCCCCCTACATTTAGTAACACGATTTATTTGCTTTTTCGCTACCAGAGCCCGACTATAATACTTTTTCTGGAGAAAATTCGACGTTTTCCACCGCACGATTACGTAACTTTCTCTTATCACGAAGAATTCGTAAGGCGAGAAAGTAAAATGCAAAATAAAGTAA